AGCAACGAACCCCCAAGCAAACGTGTGCACCTCGACTATATGTAAGTTTGACACACTGACGCATGAGCTATTTTCATGCATTCCGTAATATGTGTGCCATGCATAATAATCCCGAGAGGTCAATAGTCGTCCAGAGCATTAGTATAACAAGGACAGAAAAATCAGCCAGCAATCAAAATATTTACTTCATCGATACCGATCTGATATAGAATAGGTCTAAATACTAAAGTGACGTTTACGTAGGAAATGTCCGAGGAATGAAAATCATTTTTAATTGTCTGATTGTACATAAGACTGGACGAGGAGTAAATAATACCATTAATGAAAGATGTCATCCTTCAAAAATTCTAATCATAGTCATTTTTGCCGTTATGATTAGTCGTTATAAGAAAATAGAACTCAAGATGAGTGTACCTCTGCGCGGTAGCTAACCAATATGTACTATCTTATTTTTGGGTTACGCACAACGCAAAGCATCTGTTAGCAAATTGCGAAAGTATCGTATATCTAGCGAAATTGGACGAATCGACGCATATGATAATAATCTTGGTTATATTAATGCGATTTGAAATGCGAATTAAATCAAGTGAAATGAATTTTTTTGTATTCCATTATCGTGTGATGGTAACATGTCAAAATTCTTTGTGAAAACATGATAAAACATTACACCTCCCTGAATATTTGATGTACGATAAAGGGAGACTCGTAATTCAAACAATGTGAATCCTTTGTTGAAGAGAAGTTCGAATTCAAAGCGAAAGTTGAAAAGACGAACCAGTAATCATAGGTGCAGTCATTTGATCATGACGATGCGTTACGCCGTTAAGCCATCGCTGTTTCCGCTACAATGGAGTTGCCATACGATCACGTTCCTGTCAGAATGATTCTTAGCCGTTAGTCGACTACGCTTTGACAAACGTGTCTCGAACTGTATACCTATGTTGGTAATGTCAGGAAATACCACTTGCCGACAGGAACAGGTGCTTCCAGGAACTGTATGGAAAGTTTTTGGAATTACCCTAAATGAATTAAATCCATATCAGGTGTCTATAAATCGTCACGACTCGTTTAACGTAAACCAGGCTGAAGGCATTTATAGTCATAATCTACGAAGAAATCAGTGATAACCATCGTCTTTGAAAAACATTCCTCGAACATAGAGACAAGTGCGAGCGCGTTGTCGGCGTATGATCGTAAGAAGAAGAAAGAAATATGTAATATGCAAAGTGGCTGAATTATGCCCAAAGCGATCTTTTATTATGGCGGCTGGAATCATCGGTCGGGTAGCGACCAATGCGCACCAGTTCGTAAAGAGAGCGTGGATGGACCTGCAACTCACCTGATAATAGCTTGATTCCGCCATCTTGGACACTATACTCCACTCACTCACTCACTGCTTTCTATCCGTCCTTTGTGCATGGAACGACGAAGTCCATTGTGTTTACACGAGTAATGTACGCTGCACCACCGAGCTGGTTGGAAGTGTCTGCATTTCATATATTACCACGCACGTTCGATTTTATTCACGAGATATTCTCTATATAAATCTTTGAATAGGAAGCGACAAGAAGTTACTACCACAGAGAAGTATGAATGAAAGACGCGCGGCTCGCGAACAAAATGCAGACACGAGCGCATTCCACCGCACCAAACTGAAGACTGACGGAAAGTGCCGGGCCAATCGTGGCCCAAAGGCGCGCGCACTGTACTGCCACCGCTATCGCTAAAGGTGTGTTCACGATATCACTTTTATGTCAGCTCGGTGAAACAGCCTTTATTCATTAGTCGATTCCGATAGACAATGAAACGAGTAACTGTGTGGAAACTTATACTCTGCTTATACCTTGTAGGAATAATAAAAATAAAATCGAAAACAATGAAACGTAATATGGGTGTATGTAAAAGTAACCATGTTAAATTAATATATTTTCTTATTATCTTTCCACTAAACATTTTTTATGGGAATAAAAACATTAAAGCTTTATATAATTTATTAAATTTATTAAAAATTATTGTACAATTTTGTATTTACATATTTAACTTTTTGTATAATTATACTTAGAAAATATCTTCCTGATGGACACTTAAACTGAAATTAATGTCTGTAAAAGATCCTCGGGAGTTCTTGAAAATAAACTGTTTGGATTTTGGTACAAATTCTTTGGATTGTGACACGCTTCATATAATTGTTTATAGATTGCTCCAATTACTTCAAAAGAACGTTTTTGGGTGATTGAACGGTGATTACTACTTTGTAACAAACTCATTTGTGGCAGCAATAATACATCTGGCATCACTAAAAATGCTTCCAATTTGTTCTATAACACATTAAAAACTTAGAATAAAATTTATCCCTATCCTTCATTCACAGTATTGAAGTAATAGTTACATACAGTAAACTCCTTTACACTTAGGGGATCCATTCCAGGAATGGAAGACAATGGACCTTGTTCATGACCTTGCAAAATAGTGTAAATTGGACCAAGATTCAAATGTGCCACTAATGAACTGGCTTGTTCTGATGTAAGAGTATCAATTTGTGCATCAGATTGTGCCTGAAAAATGTCATTTTATCAATATCGATATAAAATATATAAAAAGTTCGTAAATTAGAACACATCAATTGTAGTCTTCACCTGTAATCTTTCTAATCTCTGATCCATATATTCATACAGTGCTAAAGTAGACTGTATTTGATGCATACAATTTAAAAGATATACAGCCATGTCTACTGTAGGTAATCTTGATGCTGTTTCATTAACTTCTTGTAACAGTGGGTCAATAATGCATGATACTATCTGCGGATTATGTGGTATGAGAATTTCATTCAAATACCGATTTTATAAAGCTATTAAATGCTGATACAGACCTGTAGCATGTCTTTCTCTCTATCTTCTGCAATACTTGCTACAGAAAGAATTTCATTAAGAAGTGACAGTAATCTAGAAACAGATGGTGCAGGTACTAAGTCATTTCCTGGTGGTTCTGCACGTTCACCGAGTGCAATACGCGTCTGCTTTTGAAGTCTACTTAGAAAACTTTTTTCACTTAATATTAGTAGATCTTTCAATGTTGAATCCAAGATACTATCTGGTATTACTTGCTGAATTATCATCTGATAAAATCTAAGAAGAGTTGTAACAGAATATAATATTGCTGCTGGTGCATCCATAGATATAACATTTTCTATTCTTGACTTTAAGGGATGACAAAGTCCTTCTGTGATATTACTTAATGATTGCTTAATCTGGTCTGATACATCTAAAATGTGTAATAAAAGCTAAGAAAAGTAGAAGTACAAAGGCAATCACTTAGTTCATACCTGTTTTATTACAGCCTTTCACTAAAGTAAGAATATTTTCCTTTTCAACAGGAATAACTTGATGAAGCCAAGCAAGCATATCACCAATATATCTTTTAGGATCATTTGCATGCATTTCAATAGGATTAGGTGTACTACCATATCCTTCTCCCAATGTTAAAGCATCGATAAAAGAACCTACTAAAGCAGTTCTTCTAGCTGCACAATATTCATCCAAAATATATCTAAAAAAATACATACAAATAAATATAGATTCATTTAACATAAATTATGCTAGGTTTCTTATTAGATTTTAAATGCATACTTAAATAGAACTGGTCTATCTTGCAATTTATTCATTGCTTTAATTAATAATGGTGCTAAGCGTTCATTTTCAATATGTTTACATTGATTCTGTGTCCATCTATATAGTCTTTCAAGAGCTGCCTCTTGCAACAATGTCATTCTTTGCATAATATCTAGCCCTAACGTTTGATATCCTGATTGCATTAATATTCTACAACTGCTATGAATCTCCTGTAATTTAATAGAGTTGTTATTGATTCATCTTTAGACGAAAGTTTTTTCTTACTTATCTTACCTGAACACGGTTAACAACAGAAAAAAATTCTTCTGTAATAGGTGATTCCTTGCTAGAACCATGTAAAATACTTTGTTCAGATGAAGTCAGTTGGAAATTTTTAATAAATGCATTTGCAACCTCTTGTTGCATAGATAAAGTTTGGCTAAAAATTATATTATATTTTATGTATATTTTTTTGCATAAAATTTAATTTAATCCTGATAACTATTCAGTGAATAAATGTACCTCTTATTCTGAAGTTTTGCAGTTTGGTCAATAAGCTGTGATGTCTGTGTTTTTGTAGCTTGTAAGCGATTTGTCATACATTGAACTGCAGTATTCATAGCTAAAACATCTTGATATATGTCGTCTAAAGAAGATTTTACTTCCCTAAAAGCGGATAAAAAATCTTCGTTTATTGCAAGACTTCTTCTTTCTATTTTACTACGCAAATTTCTACGAGAACTTAATGTATTTTCTGTAAAGAATGTGGATAATTCTTTTAAGGCTTCTAATGTATCCTAAAAGGGAAAAACAATTTAAATGAAATGTTTATATTTTATTAATGCAAGTAGTAACAATTACAACAAAGTATAATATAAATACCTTGTCATGCTCTACTCGTGATTCAAGTAATTTATTCACCCTTCGAACTAACGTAGTATTAGTATTTTTTTCACTCATTTTAAATAGGTTACTTTTTTACAATCAAATTCATCGAGATATATAGCCTATTTATTTCAGAAATGTCACGTAGCAAAAGTACATGCATAGCTACGTATATAAAACACATAGAACATGTACTCATTACTCTAATCACACGTACAATCGTACAACAACGTAAATTCTGTAAGGTGATAAAAATCTAGCTTTCGAAGATGTAAAGGTTCGAAAATTTTAGTTTTTAAATTACTTATTAAATATAATATTTGTCAAATTAGAATTACTAGAATTATAAATATTAAAATAATATTAACAAAATAAAATGCCCATTAAAATAGAAATTTCATAGAAACTATTTTATTTATTTGTTTATTTAAAGTTATGTACTAATGTTCATTTTAAATGCTTGTTAGTCGGCGGCAAATTAGAAATTCTGATTGTGTTACCGTTATCATTCTAGTTTACCATCTAAGTTACTCCAATTTCGCGGAGAGGGTATATTTGCAAACTGTCAATATGTCATATCAGTTCCGCGCTTTTCTGTTCATTAAATGAATTTTCATTTATAAAATATGTAATATTTTAGTGAAATGAAAGATTTACGGAATATGATTTTATATTATAAATATAGTTTAGATAGAAAGTTATAGAATAAAACACTATATTGTTTATTCATATTGAGGTTAGTGTTTTAGTTAACACAAAATAATACATATGATGTTAATTTTAAGGTTTCAAATGGGAATTTTCACAATTGGCATGTCATTATAATATTAGATTATTATTCTTGTTGTTTCTTACACATTGTCTTTTTTGATTTTTTTCTATTTAGGAATTGGCTTATATATTTATATCATTAATTTTCTTTATGTATGTAAGCATGCTATTTCTTATTTTATTGTGTGCATTTATAATAATTTGGCCTTAATTTCTTTTTAAGTATGCATGGTTTCATTTAGTTTGTTGGTGGCAAAATGTCCACGTCAGAATCTGGTGTGGGATGTATTAGTGAAGTTACACTTGCAATTAGTAAAGCAAGGGGTTCTCAATCAGGCACTGTAAGAGTACTGGATAGTCCAGACTCTGATGGATCTGGGCATTCAAATTCATTTACTGTACAGAGGTTTAATTATCCTAATAATGATAATGCAAATTCCGATATTTTACATCCTCCACTAACTAGTGATGATGTAAGAATACCAATTGTTGGATATGAAGTTATGGAAGAAAGAGCTAGGTTTACGGTTAGTTAAATTAAAAACTTGTTCTGTATTGTATATCTTATATACATAGTCTTCATATAACATGTACTTTTTAGGTTTATAAATTACGAGTGGAATTAAAAAACGGAGACTGTTGGTTTGTATTTAGAAGGTACACAGATTTTGTTCGTTTACTATCACAATTAAGAAGGCAGAAAATTCCAGTTTCTCAATTAAGTTTACCAAGGAAAAAGTGGCTTGGTGATAATTTTGCTCCAAGTTTCCTAGAAGAAAGAATACGGGGTCTTCAAGCATTTGTTAATGGAATATTAAGCAGTCCTCTTCTCATAGGAACTGCATGTGTCAGAGAATTCTTCTGTTTGGATGAGCCACCTGCTTTATCTGACACAGCAGAAGAATCTAGAGTAAATATACTCTATACAATTTTTTAATTTCTTCTGTTAAAAGATAGATAAAAGGAAAAGTATTTTGTTTTTCTTTAGGCAATTTTTGAAGCATTAGAAGATACTATATATCATTTAAGACAGCAATTAAGAGAAAGAGATGCTGCACTTGCAGCTGAAACAGCTTTATGCAATGAATTTCGGAAAAAGTTACATCAAATATTGAGGTAAATGCTATAATTAGATACAACCATAAATAAATGATATTTATAATAAACATCAAATATCTGGAGTGTTAAATTAATGTTTCAGTGAAAGACAAACCTGTCAAAAATGTGGTGCATCTCAGCCATAATTTCTTATGAACTATTTTGTTATATGATATTGATAAAATTTATTACACAGAGACTGGTATAAATAGACAATTTTAGTTTTACTATCTTTGTTTAAATTCTTACAATATAAGTAATTGTTATGTGTTTACGATTTGTTAAAAGTGCATGTAGCATATTTCATCCGTTCAGTCATGCATTTTTTGTTCTATTTTTGTTCTATTTTATACAAAATAACTTAATTTTTATATGAAGTGATATGTATAAGATTCCTTAATATAATAAGTACACTGAGCTTGCTTAGCATAAAATTTACATGGTAATTACAAAAAGCCTTATAGAGGTGCCTTACAATTCTAATAGATAAACATTTGTATATGTCACCATACTCTGTAGTCAAAGTTTAAAATTGACAAGTAAACTAATAGTAAATGTTACTAAACTTGACTATGAATATATGCCAAAGTATATTAATCTTTGGTGTTTTATAAAATTCTATATATTTTGTAGTACTTTACATGAAATGAGCAATTATTACGTTTAACAAGTTATAATTAACTTTAATAATATTTATTGTTGTCATAATATTAAAATATCAATGTTACTAAAGAATTTGATATTACATTATTGTGATATATAAAGTATGTAAAGATATAATAAATACTCGACATTTACATTTTAAATATGTTTTACACTATTATACAATTAAATTATTTTATTCAATTCTGTGCTATAGTCGATATTTATTATATCTTCGTAGTTATGTTAAAAATGCTTTACAATACTGCACAAATATAAAAATTTGTTACATATTTAAACTAATTATTAATTTTATAGAAACATGGAATTTTTTTTATGAAAATGAATAAAAATGAATAAAACTGTTATTTAATATTATATAATACAATGTATCTTTCTCTATGTTTCGACTTATATTATTGTTCAAAGTCTAAATCTCTTAAATGAGTTATTAAATATATTTCAACCTAAGCCATATTAATAACGAAAATGATCTTACGATATGTACAATTAGGTATGAAATGAAATGTCATCAGTTTTCTTTATCTGGAGCAACAACTAGACATAATGCTTGGATCAAGTATGTGATTCTCACTGAAAAGCAACAAGTAAAAATTTACTAGTAATACAGAATAAAATAATTAAAAATGCTTTGAAACATTTTTTTTTTTTGCAATACTCACTTGCCAAAATACTTCTAACTTTCTTGTACACGTACGTATGGTAGATAGCAATACCACCAAGAATAAATAGCAGTGCAAACAGGTATTTGGGTGAGGGTTCGTGTACGATCGGTGTTACAGCCAGGAAGATAGAAACAAGCAATACCAGCCATGGTATCAGAATTGGTACTGCGTACGGTCTGGATGCATCTGGTTTCGTTCGTCGCATAATTATTAACGACAACATTGCAAGTCCATAGAATACCCACGTCAAGAAACTTGCAAATTCGATAAGTGCGATAATATCTCCCAAAAGCATACAAAATAACGTAAGCAATCCTTGAAACGCTACTGCTGCAGATGGAGTCATTTTCGCAATATGCACATAGCTAAAGACTCTGGGTACGTGGCCTTCACTTCCGGCTACGTAACAGAGTCTGGATACACCAAATTGAATACTAAGACTGCATCCAAAAGTAGATAAAGCAACACCCACAGGTATTACAAAGCTCAACCAGGAGGGCAGAACTTTTTCCGCCCAGAGAACTGCTACAGCTGGTGCGCTTACCATTTCCGGTATCGTTAAGGCAGCCATGTACATTAAATTCATCGAAACGTATAAAACGGTAATCAAGGGAACCGCAATTAGAATGCTCCTAAGAATATTAACTTCCGGCTTCTGGATCTCTTCCGTAACGATTGCAGCGGAAGTCCACCCGTCGTAAGCCCATAATCCACTGTAAAAGGCTAACGCCACGTTACCAGGCGAATCGGTAGTACCATCAAACGGCTTCTTCAATAATTCCGTATGACCGGTGCATAACCACCATATTCCACCACTGATTACGAAAATGCACGCAACTACTTTACATACGGTGAATATATTTTGAACTTTCACGTATAATTTTACGCTGGTTAAATTGATATATGTGATCAATCCGAGAGCCAAGATTGCTATGAGCTTTTTCAATTTAAGCATTGATTCTTCAGGAAGATTGCTTAAATATCCGGAGAACGGTTGTACGCTATACTCAGCGAATGTCAACATAACTACCGCCACTTCTGCAGGTCGTAATAGTAATACGTAAACCCAAGAACATATAAAAGCTGGTATCTGTCCGGCATACCGATGCAAAGGCGAAAAAGCTTCGATAAAATATGCATATTCAGCTCCAGATCGTGGTACGACTGTACTTAATTCGGCGAATGCGAGAGCCCCTAGTAGAGACAGAACGCCACAAGTAGTCCAAACGATTAGACAAAATCCAACGGATCCTGATCTTTCGAGAGCGCTGGTTGGAGACACGAAAATTCCAGAACCTTGAAAGAAAAATAATTCCTTGATTAAAACGAATATCACGCGTAATTTCATTTGTAACAATAACGTAAAAGTAATATTTACGAAACAAATAAGATCGATCCTTATCAGAGTAACTGTTATCAGTTTATTACTAATTGGTTTCTCTATACGATGTATGTAGTAAGAGTCATGGTCATATGAAATAATATAATGTACTTTGAAAGAAAAATAAAATACAAGCAACATAACTTCCTTACATTTAAAAGAACTCTTCTTTTTTATTCTATTTGTACAGCGTAGAGATATAAATAGCTCAGAAGTTACGACGGAATTCGTAATCTCGACCATTTTAACGGTATAAAATATTATTTGGTTTATAAATTGTAGACCAAATTTTAATGATAAAAGTAATCTTATATTCATAGATAAATGGTAAGTATGATAGATTTGTCAGCCTGCAAAGAAGATGCCTCGTAATACTCGAGCGCGTGGGTCAGCAATTAACCTTGATTAACCCCCTTGATTCGTAATCGCGTCAAAGCTCTGCCCGTAATTACCAAAACGTTACGTCAGGTTTTATTTCTTATTGTGCAAAAATACAACATATAACTATATTTGACTTTCAAGCAGAAGGAATTGAGGATTAATCTAAAAGAGACTGCAATATGTAGACCATGTGTATATTTGTTCTCAATTTCCACTAATACGATTTTAACTTAGATTGGTTGGATTATACCAGGGTAATGTAGATATTGTTTGAGGAGCTTCATATGATTGTACTGAAATGGTACAGATAAATATCGAGGCTAAAGTACACTTATTCTATTTGTGAACTCGAAAAATATTTCTGTAAAACTTCTAAAATTCGCATGGAATACTTGCTGGAAATACTTTTTTAAGCTAATGTTTACTTAAAAAGCTAGTGAAGTCAAGTAAGATATATACAGATATACAATGCAACATTAAATAACTATAGTTAACTATAATGGCTACATCATAGCATATAATAAAATCATGCAATTATCAAATGAAATCTAATAGCCGATGTAACTAATGAATACTTAAGCGATTAAAAAAATAACTCTTCCCGTCAAAGGAACACTATGTGAAAGTATCGGGCAAAGCTTTGAATGGCTATTGAAGCAGATACGTTATATCGCCGTAAGTATAAAGCTTAAGCTTATTCAAGCCCACACAATAATGCAATTACAGTCAACTATTCTTAACATGTGTTCGGTTGTCAAAGGGATTTCTATTGCTGCTGGATTTCTATTGGACCTTTGCCGTTCTTTGAATGTCGTAATTGTTGTTCGTTATTAATTATTACATTAATATCGGCTAAATCGAAGATAAATATTATTTGTAACAAAACGTTAAAGATGAAATGTACATAGTTCATTTTATGATATTATATCGATCGTATCAAGAATTGACAAGATGAGAGGAGCGAAGTATCTTTAGAAACGATCACGAGAGTGTTGTACATTCGTCAATAAATTCAGACGGTAACACCTGTTATCATTTTTAAAATACACTAACACTAACATTTAATTTACTATTATCTGTTCAAATGTGGTGATACCTTTGCACATAGTAAAGTTTTATCGCGTAATCGTTCTCGCAGTTTATGTTTCAAACAAATTTTGCATTTATATCATTTTTATGTTAAATATTGTATTGTAACATAATAGGATGGTTTAAATATGCCTTCTACATATAAATACTCTTAAACATTACTTAAAAAAATATTAATGCCGAATGACAAGTATCAACGAAATTCTATCTATATGAAAGTTCACTGTTCGAGCATTTTATGCTGAAAGGATTGCAATTTCATTATGTAAGTAGAATATAGAAAACATATGCTGATAATGCATACCGCATTTCTGACCTTCGGAAATTATCTGACGAATTCATTAATAAATCGAATAGAATTGATTAAACTGTTAACTTATGTCAAGAGTGCAGGAAAGAAGAAAATAAAAAGAGTACAATCAATAATTTCTGCCGGCTGACTCTATACAACAAATTTTGTGTTGGTACCGGAAGAAAATACTTGTTATTTAATGTCACGCTTTTATATTGGTTTCATACCGATCATAACAGCCACGATGATGCTTACTGCGCTAAAAAGACCTAGCTCTCGTTTTAGCGCAATTCTTTCATTTCCTTTTTCCTCGACTTGTCCCATTTTGCCAAGCTTCAACTAAATTCTTAACGAGTACCGATTACCACGTATTATCCAATTCACTAGCACTATATCAAAACGTTTTCTTTTTGAATTCAAATATACATCGCGCGAGCTGTACGTCTGACTTTTAGACCGCCTTCGATCGGCTCTACGTTCAATCGGTGTAACGAAGGCATGAATCGGCTTCCTCGTGCCTTAGAGCCGGATCGAAGGCAGTTGTGACGTTATCAGAAGATGTCCAGAACGAAACTGAAGTGTTAGCGGGTCAGCTAGTCGCTTGTTTTTACAGGCGTGCATTGGTTCCCCTGATAAGAGTACTATGTACTCTGATCATGGTACCGATATCTTTGATGATCGGTAGCTAAACTATCAGATTAAACGAGTTTAAAAGTGGTCGTACAAATATAAAAACAAAGCTTATAAATATCTTAGATAAAAGATTACGTTTCATGAAGAGTTGCCGTGGACAAGATGCGTTTCTCTCGCGACCAACGAATAACTGCCTCATAATTGATAAACGTTAAAAGAACTGTTTACACAAAATTTACAAACCCAAAGATATCGGTAGGGGCACGTGCGTCATCTTTTGGTAATCAGTAATCAGTCATATTTTGAAGTGTATTGTTCGATTTTGTTACATACAGTTATTCGATAAGATAGTGGAATTCGAATTCCAGTCAAAGTTCGTGAAACAATGGTAATACGATAGGAAGTATCTCTTCAGCGCACATTTTTTGGTGGCCTCGTTATTTCCATACTCTTCCACCGATAATTACGCTTAGGAATATTCTTTGTATTATTCCTCATATAATTTCATTGAAAGTATATTTGTAATAAAATAAATTAAAAAAAAACGCAAGGATGATATATACATTTCGCATGGCGTGCATATGTAGGCCTTTTTTAAGAATTACTTAATATCTATAATTAATATCTTAATATTAATATCTTAATATCTATATAATATACAGTATTATATATATATTATACAATACTTTTATCCATAACGTTGAATAATTTTTATGTATTGTTTATAAATTTTTTCAACTTCTTGTTTATAATTAAAATACAATTTATATAAATATATTGCAATAAAATTAAAATATTTGCAAAAAAAGAATATAAAAATAAGGTACATAATATCACACAATTTTATCTTATATAATATTTATATTTAAATTAATATTTACAACACGTGCTTTTGAGTTCATAACGAAGAGCATGCGTTCTGAAATAATTTTGCGAAAATATTCCAGTATTATTTTGCACTCAATCGTCTATATTCTAAATCAAATTTGCATTACATTGAAAATGCAATAATAATTAGAATAAATAAATCTACATTGATTTTATTTGATGTTCTACTCGTTATTCGTTATTTTGTTTGACAGATGATTAAGGTTAATATGCTACAGTGAACGTGTAGTGAATGTACGTATAACCTGTCTAGCACACTAAGTATTAAGTAACGATGGAAGACGAAGAAAAAAAATGTCATGACGAAGAGCCTAGTGAATTTTATTTCGAATCTGATCACTTAGCATTAAAAGGAAATAAAGATTATACTACTCTTTTAAAAACAATTGTTATTCTTGAAGCACAACGAGTTCAAGCTATAGAAGATCTTGACAAACTTTTATCAATTCGTTCTAAAGCATTGAAAGATCCAATATCTTTCGTAGCTCAGATACAAAATGGTGAGCTACCAGAATTACCAGGGCCACAAAAAATTGCAGAAATCCCTTATATTGATTGGGCACAATATAACGTAGCTCCACCTGATATGCGAATGAGACCACAAACAAGGCATGGACATATTTTGCCTCACATACAAACAAAATCAGAACAAGAGAATGGAAAAGTATGTTATGTTATATATATATATATATATTTCATATACATGCGTATGTACTGACTTGAATATAATTAGATTTTAGTAAGAGGACGTGCTTTTGATGAGAGTAAACCAGAGACCTTCAATCAATTATGGACAGTGGAAGAACAAAGAAGATTAGAAGAACTTTTAATTGAATACCCACCAGAGGATGTAGAAATGAGAAGATGGACTAAAATAGCTAATGCTTTAGGTATATTATTAAGAATATCATTTTTGTTATGTTTGTACGTTACTATTTATTCTTTTTAATAGGTAATAGAACTCCAAAACAAGTGTCTAGCAGAGTCCAGAAATACTTTATTAAACTCTTAAGGGCTGGATTACCTATACCTGGTCGAGGCCCCAAAATGAAATTAGATGTGAAAAAAGGAATGGGTCATAGACATCAACGTAATAACTACTCATTATTTAGACGTTCTACATTTTTTCCCCATCAAGATATTTCTTTTACAATACCTGATGAAAGCAAGGAACAGGCAATTACAGAAGAATCTGTATGTGTTGTTACAATTCTGTACTCTAGTGAAAATTTAAGTTTCCACCATTTATTTCATTATTTATATTTATAGGAAGATGATGCTGGAAATAGTATTATTGATGACAATCCTGAATTGAGGCATATAGAATTACTAAAACAAGTAAAAATGGAGAAAGAACAAAATTCGTCTCCCGTGTATAAACATGTTGGATATAAGGTATGTACAGGTGTTAGAGCAAATTAGAAGAATTTAAAGCTTAATGGTTTATTTTTACAGTGTTCAGTTTGTGGAGAAGATCCTCTAACAGGTACAAGATGGCATTGCACAGAATGCCAAAATGGAATTGATTTATGTGGTGATTGCGCTGTAGCGCAATTAGAGGCTGAGAAACCATTACATGATACGCTACATAGACTACTCCCTATAAAACCACCTCTGTATACTAGAAGTTATGATTTAGATTACTTTCCACAGAGTTTCAGTAACTCTTCTTATAATTATTTAGATCCCAATTTTTTACCTGAATAATTATTATTTCATCAAATCTATACTAATAAGAATTATATCATAGTTTTATAAAAGTAGAATGTAAAAATAATTCATCATTAAATATTAATACTTTTTTAAAGCTGTGTTATGAACTAGAAGATTTAGTTTCTTTTATATCTGTAGGTTCATCTGCTTCAGCGACATTGCCTTGCTTAAATTTTAAGTTAATTTTCCTTTTGCAATCATCAAGAATGCCACATTTTATGCTCTCTCGAATAATCTTAAAAAATTCGAGATATTGGTGTACATTGTGTCTGAAAATATAAATCAATGCGTATATTCATACATAATAATATTAATTAATTATCTGCAATATCAGTATGTAATTAGAACTTACATCATTAAAAGAACAGTACCAAGCATTTCCTTAACATTACACAGATGATATAGATATGCTTTGGTATGATTTTTACATGCTAGACATTCACAGTGAGAACATATTGGAGAAAAGTCATCCGCATATCTGCTGTAAAATATTTGTTATGAAAATGAAAAAATGATTATATATTTAGTTTTACATTACCTTTCTTCTGTAAATGATATTGTATGACCTACATTATTACAGTCATCATGATCACATAGGAAAGTTAAAGCTCTTAAATTTTCAGTAATTATATAAGGGTATGAAGTATCAAATATATCTGTACCTAATTCAACAAGGTCTAATACTGCAAGGGGATTCCAACATCCCACTGATACCTTAAGCTTTTCAGGAGGTAAAAGATTCTGAAATAAGTATATTT